CAACCCCTGGCCTGGTGGGGGTTAGAGCCAGAGCCATGGGGGCTCTGGGCCAGACTACCAGTGAACTTCCCGTGTGACCTAGGGCAAGTTGTGTAACTCAGGGGGCCTCGGCTTTCCCATCTAGAAAATGGTGCCAGTGACGACAGTGACCATGACGACTTGAAGATTAATGGACAGGCTGGGCTCTGGCATGTGGTAATGGCTCAGAATGCTGTCTTGTGAGAGAAGGGTAAAGCCCCAGGCCATGGGACACAGGTGGCCCCATGTGCTCCTGAGCAGGAAGCAGGTGAGAGGCTAGCCACACCCTGGGAGGGACACTCGGGGTGTATATCCGTGTCCCCACAGCCCAGAGCCGCTGCTGAGGGACTTACTAGGGCAGGATTCCTGGAAGAGGCACCCAAGCTCAGGGCCCAGTCCCTGTTCCCCTCCCTCGCCTTGTCCAGGGCTCAGCTCCGGCAGAGAGGCCCAGCCGAGCTTGAAGCTCTTGCTTGTTTGTGGACTCGGCAGGTGTCCCCACGAGGGGACTCCATACTCGATCCTGGGATCCTGGCTAAGGTTCTGAGCAGCAGGGATCCTGAGACATCTCCTGCTATCCCCGTGGGGGAGGCTGGCTTTCCTACAATCTCACCCACTGCGTGGCCCCCACTCGCTTCCATTGCCCCCGTTCACTCACCACTGAGTCAAGGAACATTTTATTGAGAACTTACCATGAGTCAGGCCCGAGCTCAGGCCTTACACCACATCTCACTTAATCCTTCAGTACCCTCTGTGTCATTGCCCTCTTTCCATGTGACAGATGAACACCTTGGGGCTCAGAGAGGCTGAGTAACTCGCCTACAGTCACAGAGCTGGTTATCAGTGGGGTGGGACCTTGAGCTTCCATCCAGGACAGTCTGACTCCCATGTGCCATCTTACCTGCCTCCTTTGGGCCTTTACCCAGAGGCAGCAGGCGAGGGCTGAMGGAAGTCTGTGGTCCCTGAGCTGTGCCACTCTTCCTTGGGGAGACCTGAGCCTCTTTACTCCCACCCCCTCAGATCAGCTCTCTCCCACAGGTAAGGAGCTGCCTGGCATTTCCGGTCCCAGAGCAGAGATACCACAGCACAGCAGGATGAGTCACAGGAGGGGGGCAGCTGTGGGGGGAGGCCTGGTCAGCCTTCTGGCTGGAGGATGGAGAGGAGCAGGACACGCCTGTCTGAAGCTGTGTGGAGCCCAGGCCACAGGGCTGGAGGGGACAGTACAGAGCTCCTGCCACTGAGGAAGGAAGCCTGGGTCAGCAGGAAGGGGAACAGGAAGGAGCTGAGAAAGCCCAGTCCCTCTGCCCRTCCCTGGGCGTGGGAGGAGGCCCTTCTGCCTGGGCCAAGCGGAAGCTCCTGTGGCACCTTGACCAACTCGGGCGGGCAGTTCACCCAGAGCTGCCCCCTGCAGCCCACGGAGCACAGCCCCAGGCCCTGCTCCCCTCCTGCCAACAGCAGCACGGTAGCTCGGCTTGCTACAGGAGCTCTCCTCTCAAAGCCCCTGCACGGGGCAGGAGTGTTCAGAGGTGACACGGCTGCACCTTGAGAGCTGTGGCCTCATCGGCCCAGCCTAGTTGAAATGGGTGGCAACTGTGGGCAGGTGGGGTGCGGCTGGGGGAGAGGGGCCGGTGGGGCCCGCCTGGGAGATGTTCCCTGAGCCCCTTCCTCTCTCTCGCCCTCTGCTGTCTGACCCCACGGTGAGCTGAGCGCCCTCCCCCGGCCCTCCCCCCTCCCCCAGGATGCTCTGCCTCACCTGTAGCCCAGAGCMTGGAGCCAGCCATCTCCAGACTGAGACCTCTGATACCATGAGCCCTAAATAAACTGTCCCTCCTCTGAGTTGTTCTTGTCAGGTATTCTGGTCACAACAGTGCCAAGCTGACCAAAACCCAGGCCTGTCCCTGAAGTTTCCACTAAGCCCTGCCATCCCYGTTCTGCAGATGAGGCTCAGAGATGGTTCCAGAGTCAGGATTTGAATCCAGGTCTGTYGGCCCCCAAATCCCTGGTCTCAACACAACAGGCCCCTAAGAACATGCTCCACCTCTACAGGTCCCCTACCCCCAGGGTGGGGGTGGTCATTGCTGAAACCTCTGTCCCCAGGTCCTGGCCCCAAAGACCAGGCCCAGCCCCCACCCCAGCCTCTCAGCTCATTCTGACCCAGGTCTCACTGCAGGTTTCTCTGAAATCAAATTACATCCTCATTCTTCCTCCAGGACTCACACTCCATAAGTGATTCTGGGCGCAGAAACTGGCGCTCCCAGGCTGCCCCTCCTCAGTCTAGCCCCCACCTGCAGCAGCAGACAGACACAGGGACACAGTCAAAACTCCCTCCCTCCGGAGCACACGGAGACACTCAGGGCCCCTGGAGAGGGACCCTCCCCCCACCCTCCTGGCTCCACCCCACCCCCACTCCCCAGGCTCTCGGAACATTTTAAGAGTCACAATAATCAGGATAATAATAGGAATCAGTGCTTGCAGTTTGCAAACCTTTTAATCGAATCCCTCACTTGGCTCTCCAGTTCCCAGAGGCAGATGGTTCTGTTTCCACTTCTCAGGTGCAGCCCAGGGTCACATAGCTAGGTAGGCACACAGCTGAAGTCCCAACCCCTCTCCCCCTCCTCATTCAGGTCCTTCCTCCTCTGCAAATGACCCTGAGCCTCATGGTTCTCACGCGCCCAGCCAGGTGAGCCTTCCATGCCCAACACCAAGATGCAGTAACTCAGGAAACAAGGGCGCCTGGGAGCCCCAGGGATGTTCCTGGGCTGGTCGCACTGGCCCTCAGAATAGCGCACAGGGAGGAGGAGGAAAGCAGGGAGCCTGAGGGCCAGCGGGGCACAGGGAATGGCCTGCCTCCTCCGGTCTGGGCACTCTTCCTCCAATAGACAAGAGGCTCTCTTGGCAGTACTAAGCACCTCATCACTAGCAGCCTGCAAGCAGAAGCCAGCAAAGAGCTGGCCACGGACACCAGAGAGGTGGTCTCCATCCTCGGAGTGCTGAAGTCTGTACAGTGGGTTTCCAAGATTATCAGCTGTCACTGTGAGTGTTTCCTCTGCTGACTGTCTCCCGGGAGGCCGGGAGCCCCCCAAAGACAGGGATGGTGCCCTTTCACCCCAGGGCCCCAGCACCCAGCACCTGGCCAGGCCAACAGGCAGGGGGCCGGGTAGACTGCCTCCTTCACAAAGGATGGCGGAGCAGCCTCAGCCCGCCTGTGCTCAGGCATGCCAAGAGCAGAGAGGGAGGGACACTGACTCGCTCACCATCCCAGCTCCCTCTAGCCTCCTTCAGGCCCGAGCTGAGACGCTGAGCTATTGCAATGCCCAAGACAGGGCCCCAAGTCAGGTGGCTCTTTGGATCTGGGCTCAGTCTATGTCCCCTCTGGGGCCACACACCTGTTGGCTGGCTCCCTCATCACTGGCTGGGAGCAGAGTTGGTGGCACTACGATCGGAGTTTAGTTACCTTGGTAATCAGGACAGTGAACAGTCTCTGTGCTAGGAGCCGAGCACTGTTCTGTTTACTTCCTGGCAAGGGGCACAGCCTCTCATGCCCAGTCCAGGGAGGGCAGGGGGAGTCCGCCTGGCACGCCAGCCCCGAGCACCTGGCACTCCGCCAGCGCTCAATCAACCTGAGCTGCCGCTGTGGACTTGAAATCTTCGCAAGAACTGTAGGTGCTTCCACTATGGGTCACCCCCATTTTGCAAATGAGGAGACGAGTCGGGACAAGAGGTGAGGTAACCTACTGGCCCAAGGTCACGTGGTCTCTAAAAGGCAGAGCCAGGATTTGAACCCCAGCCCTCCGGTTCTAGAGTCTGCTTGATTAACCCCGAAGGAACTAGTGCAGAAAGATTCAGACCCAGTCAGGATGCCCACCTTAGCAAGAGGCCCGGGCCTTCCCTCCCGCTGTCCTACTTACCCTGTGAAATGGAGCATGTCATCAGCCCTCCTTTCCTTCTCTCCTCCAGACCCACCGTGGCCACAGTAGGAAGAAAATCTCAGCATTTCTCTAAGCAGGAGGGGCACAGGGTGGGGTTGCGGTGGGCCAGAGAGCACAAACTAGCCCTAAGGGGACAAATCCAGAATAAGTGGGGGTGGGGGAGGTGTTCTTGAGAGTCTGGTTCTTTGAGGCTGGCAGATTCCCAGAGCCTCCGGGACCCCCACACCTCACCCCACCCTGCCCTCACACCCCCAACAGCATGTGCAAAGAGAGAAATCACCAGGCAGCCACGAGTCCCCAAGGCATCCAGACACAGTGCAATTGCCATCCACATACCGAAGTTGGATTTTAGGGTGGGGCAGAAGGTGGTGGTTGAGTGGGGACTTGTTATTTGGCAAAGTCACACCAAGCAGGGGGGGCGAAGGGTGGGCCTGGGTTGGGAGGCTGTTGGCTGAGCCGAAGGCACATGAACGATGACCATCTGTAAAATGGGACTAGGCATCAACTCGATGGGCTCATCACACCGACTCGCTTCAACGGATCATTTCGAGGTGGTTGGGAGACGCAGATGATTTTAAACTTGCAACTCCGCAAGCACACAGCGCTGGCCCAGATGGGAGCTCAGCATTTGGTGCGCGTTGTCACACTTGGATATCTACCAGACAAAGCAGTTCCTTCCATTTTAGACCCCGGCCTGGGCGAGGCCATTCAAGTCAGGATGATTTATCCACCGGGATGTTGACAGCCCAGGAAAGGGGCGCTGTCTTCAGAATCTTCAGAACTTGCCAACAAAGTCCTCCTAGGCGGCGCGGGCCACTCCGGGGTGTGCCCGTCCTGGATTTCCACGGCCAGGCGCCTTCTCCCGGGCGTGGGTGCGCCCCCCGCAGGCGATCTCCAACAAAGCCGTGGCTGGAGAGCTCGGGGCCTGGTCCCCCAACCCCTCTGCTCCCGCCCTGGCGGCCACCTCGGGGGCGAGGCAGCCGGGCGCGTGGGAGGGGACGGCGCGCCATTGGCTTGTGCGCGGAACTAGAGGAGGGACCAGAGCGCACCGCCAGGACTCGGGCAAAGCCTGCGGCGCAGGAGTCCAGCCGGCCCTGCCCTGCCCTGCTGCCCGGAGCGGCGGCGCGATGTGAGGCGTGAGGGCCGAGGTCCCCAGGCACGCCAGCTCCGCGCCGCGCGGGCGACAGCATGCGCTAGCCACGTAAGTCCGCCGCCCGCCGCCGCCGCTGCCTGCGCAGCTCAGCCCGCGGGGCTCCGTGGCCGCAGGGACCGCTGGGGGCAGCGGCACTCCGCGCGCGTCGGCCAGGCGCCCGGACCGCTGGCCACCTGCGGGTTCTGCGAGGACCCATCGGGTCCCCTCCCCGGCTCTGCCAGGCGCCGTCCCGCTGCCCCTTCGCGCTCTCTCGTCCCCTGACTCAGTTTCCCCCTCCCGGCTCTCTGCCGCCGCCGCCGCCTTCCTCTCGGACTGCTTCTGCCTCCTGGGCCTCCGGGGCTTGGGCTCGCGCCCTCTTCTTCGGAGCAAGAAAGAATCGGAGCAGTTTGTCTCTCCCTGGGGTCTCTGTCCCCGGTGCGCGGTGCTCTGTCCCCTCCCCCTCCTTCTCTCTGCCTACCGCACCCCCTCCCGCCTTTGTTTCCCGGCCGGGAGTGCGCGGCACAAACTTGCGGGTTCCCCGGTCTTCGCCCCCGCAGGGCCGCGGACCGAGGTGGTGGCGGAGTTGCCGCTGCCCAAGTCTGGCGCGACCTTTCGGTGTGGGGGTGGGGGCTGGACGGGAGGAGCCGGGACACCCAGCTGACAAGAGCCGGGGTCTCAGAAAGTGGGAGGCGGGGTGTAGAGCCGGGGGGTAAGCGACCGATCGGCGGCGGCAGGGGCCAGGCCGGGCGAGATCCCAGTGGCCGGGCTGGCGAGCAGCGGCCGAAACGCGGGCTGCGCCTAAGCCCCAGCTCGGAGGGGGGTAGAGGAGCGCAGGTGGTCAGCGACGCCCCCGCCCGTCCCCAGGCCGCGCGATCAGCTGGAAGGGGTGGTGTGCGGCCGTGGGCCTAGCGCACGGCGAGCCCCGGTCCCCGCGGTGGGCAAAATACTAGCACCTACCCCGCGGGCTCCGTAGAGGACAGACTAGAACGGCGTCCCCATCCCGGGCGCCCCCAGGGCTCGGCGCTCGCTTTGGGTCCCTTTGCTCTACCTTCCCTCGCCCCCACCCAGGCGCGCGCTCCCGCCTCCTCCTGGCAGCCCCGGGGAAGTGGGTTCTTCCGCGCGCGCTCTGGAGGCGGGGGGCGGGAACCCGGCGGAGGCCGGGAGCCTGGAGGCTTCCCCAGAGGCCGGCGCAGATGGCCGAGGCCGCCTCGCGGCCCCACCACCAGCACTTCCTGTTTGGTTTCTTTTAGACAAACTTTTCTGGACTGGGCCGGACGGTGGGGAGAAGTCCGCGGGCTGCAGGATGCGCGCCCCTCTGTGCAGCCCCTAGGACCTCCACCTCTGGTGGCCTGTGAACAGGGGCCGCGCCCTGCAGCCCGCCGATCCCCGGGACTCGGGGGTCTCTTTGTTGAAGAACCAGGAGGGGGCGCTGTTCGCCCCTTGGCTACAGCCCCAGGCTCAGCCGGGCTGGAGGGGAGAATCCTAGAGTCGGGGTGTCGGGCGGGCGAGTCTTCTCCGGGTCTCTGGGGTTTCGTCTGTAAGATGGAGCGCCGCCCCTGACCTCCCCTCGGCCCCAGCTTCTTAGAAAGCCAGCTGCCCGGCTTCCTTTGTGCCCGCAGCTGTTAGAGGCCTCACGATTTCCAAAGGTGGGGTGGGGCCCACTTGTTCCTGGCAGAGCCCTGCCCAGGACCCCTGCAGCTTCTCCGGCCGCCTCCCCTCCCCTGCCCCGCTCCCAGGGCCTGGAGCTGGGCAGGAGGAGGGGCCGCCTCCCTGGGTGGGGCAGTAGGGGATTCCCAGCACACCCACACAGCCTTCTTGGGGTGCTCTTCACTTTGAACAACACGTTGCAAACACTACGCCCCAAATTATTTATTGAGCAAAGCCCAGCACAGTTCCAGCCACCTGGGGAGACAGCCGGGGACCAAACGAAGATGCCTGGCCTGGAGCTGACCCTTCAGGGTGGGGGAGGCAAATACTAATAAAGAGTTTCTATAGTGCACTGGGAGGTGAGGGGGACCGGGGGCAGGGGCGTGGCGTGGAGGCTGGGGGTGGCATTGCCATCTTTAAGYAGACACAGACCTCCGTGGTCAGATAGGCCTTCCCGGGGGCAGCTCACTGTTGAGCTCCAGCTTTGAGGAAGTGAGCTGGGCAGACAGCTGTGGGGAGGAGAGATCCCACAGGGCAGGCTGGTGCAAGGGGCCTGTGGCAGAAACACAGAAACAGGGGCTGGGGTGGACTGAGGGGCTGGGGAAGAGAGGAGGYGAGCCAGCCAGGAAGGGTGGGAGCACACCCCCCTTTTTTTGCAGATGAGGGAGTGTGGGAGATCAGAGATGATACATGAAAGCCACTTCTGCTTCTTCCCTGTGGCCACCCCCTCTCATGGCATCTCTGAAGCTGGTTTGGTTGAGGGAGAAACAGCAGAGAAGGGGAGCCTCCCCTCTGAACACAAGGGCAACACTGTTACCAAGTGTGGTCTGCCAGGCTGCCCTGTTCCAGATGGCTCTGTGCATCCTACCAGCGGGGAGGTGGGGATCATCCCTGCACCCCTTTAACAGGTGTGGAAACTGATCCTGCAGCCAGTAGGTGGCAGGGCCAGGATGTCGGCACCAGCCTTGGTGTGGTGACTTCTGCCTTTAACTGCTAAGCTCCCGGCCTCGGTGTCGGGGAGACTCCTTCCCGGGCTGTGGTTCTGGGAAAGCCGTGGGGACCCAGAATGCACATCACCTCTGGGAGAGCGGCCTCCAAGCCCCCGCTTTCCTGTCCTCGGCAGCCCCCTCCCTGCCCAGGTCCTGAGCAGCCTCCTGGGGGAGGGAGGCCCCGCCCGGAGGACCCGGGGCCAGCTGTGCCATAACAGCACTGGTGGCCCTCAGGGGCCCTGGCAGGGTCACCAGGCCAAGCGGGAGGCAGGCCCACTCTGGGTCGAAGAGGACAGTGACCGTGGAGACAGGAGAGGCCCTCTTGGTGACTTCCCAGTGGTGACGGTGGCCACACAGCGGCAGCGGCCCTGCTCCCCGTCCCTCGCCCACCCAGTGCGGTGGGGAATGTTTTGATGGTTCTGTCCCCGAAGCTTYGGGCATGTTTGTAAGAAAGCTGCGGTTGGCCTTGGCCTTCCTGACCTGGGCGGCGTGGAACGAGGACATTGGGACATTCGGTGGCCTGAGGTGGGGGGCGTGGGGCCGGGCAGGGCAGCTGGATGTGGTGGCCGGAGAGTGGCCCTCAGGAGGCACAGACCTTGGCAGCGTCTGGAGACCTATGGCCCCTCTTGGAGACCAGGACGCTGGGCCCCAGGACAGGCCCTGGCTTCCCGGGCAGCGGACTCTGGTGGAGCTCGGCACCGTGACAGCGCCCGGGCCAGCTCCTGGTGGCAGGCGAGCCCTGTGCTGTGGTGCCCAGGGCTCATCTCACGTTCCTGGAGGGTCTCAGGGTCCTTTTCTGGTCTTTACGGGGGGGGGGGGGACAAAGTCCTGCCAGAGGTGGCCCCGTCTCCCCGACCCGGAGATGGATGGCAGCCGGCCCTCCGCTGCGGGGACAGGCCCACGGGGACAGGCCGCTCTCCAGGGACCCACAGATTACACAAGCCTCCTGCGGCCTGCCGTGTCCCCTTAGCCCACATCCCGAGGACCCCCCAAGATCTGCACCCCAGAGGCCACTGTGCTGGGGTCAGTAATGCAGGCCCACAGGTGACACTTCTTCTGCCTCCTGTGACCAGCCCCAGGACAGCCTTGCGGTCAGGCGTCCTGTCCTCCAGGACAGCCCTGGAGAGGTGGGTCACTGTTCCCTGGCTGGGCGGGGGGCATCTGGCGGATGAAGCAGGCCGAGGGCGCCCCCAGTCCGCCGCGACCAGCACAGCCCTGCGGCCAGCCCTGCCCAGCGCCCAGGGCTCCACCTCGCGGCTGCCCTGCCCCCCGCGGCTGCCCTGCCCCGGACCCCATTTCCAGCTATTTGTCCCAGTGTGATAGCCCAACAACGGGTTCCAAGTGGCAGCCCTGCCCAGGACCTGCTGTGGTCACCCAGGGCCTGACCCAGAGAGGTGGGAGCCAGGAGGAGCTCAGATGCTGGGGACGCTGGTGCTCTCAAGGCCAGGCACCACGGCCAGAGGGCCCCAGCTCCGTTCTGGGGTGGAGCTCCCTGAAGTCCCCCTCCCCATCTCTCTCTCTCTCTCACACACACACACACRCACACACACACACGCACACGCACACGCACACAGGATGTGGTTCCCTTGGTTTGACTCCAGCTCTGCCACTTACCTCAAGGGACACTTCCGTAAGTCCCTCTGGCCTTAGTTTTCTCATCTGTGAAATGGGGGCGACTTGGGGCGATTCTCGGTTCCTGTCCTGGACTGTGCCCTTCCCCCAGCCTGGCGCAGCTGCGTGCCGCCCGCTCTCCCCACAGATGGGGAGGGACAGTTACGGTTTGGAGAGGAAGTGGCCCCTGGCGGAGGAGCTCAGCCGAGCGACTTCCCCTTGAGTCTCGGGAGCTGCAGCTGGTGGTGTTCCGGGTCCCTGCCCCTCCGCCCCCGCCAGCCAGCCCTCACGGGCTCCGTCTCCAGGTCTCCAAGTCGGGACAGCTCTGCAGTCCATCCGTTTCTATGGAAACCAGGCTTCCTGGGAAGGACAGGGGAAGTTGGGGAAGTCCTCCAGGACCTGTGCAGGGACGATGCCCCATCTGCTCTGCGGCCCAGGGCTGAGCCTGGGCAGGTGCCCGTTGATGATGAATTGCTCTCCTCTGTGGAGCACACACCCGGTGCCAGGCCCTGGGCTGCTTGTTCTCGTTCTCCTGCATCTTGAACCTGTGAGCTGGGTGGACGCAGTCATCAGGTTTCACAGATGAGATCGTGGAGGTTCAGAGAGGTTAAGTAACTTTCCTGAGATCACAGAGCATTTTAGAGAAAGAGTTGGGCTTTGAGCCCTAGTTTGTCTGGTCATTAAGAACATGCTCCCCTCCCCCATTCTGTCATTCTCTGTTGACACTTGTACCCCCAGATGAACCCCTCTCTTCCTGGCCTGCCTCACACTCTGGGGACTTCACCCAATTCTGCTTACCGCCAGTGGGCGCTGTTTGGAGACTCCGGTTTGGGTGCTCAGAGGTCCCAGTGGGTGGGGGGTAGGACGGGACCGTAGGGCCCTGCAGCGTCCCTCCCCCTCTTTTGTTTACTTGTGACCCYGAGTTTAATGCCGGGATTGAACCCAGGGCTTGAAGGGCTGGGGGCCTCTGCTCTGAGCCACACCCAGCCCGGCCCCTCCTGCTCCTGAATCCGAGCCCCAAACTGGCGGGGCCCCTYGCGTGCCAGGCGCTGTCCTGGGCCAGGGAACAGAAGTGACAGACGGGTGCCGAGTCACTCACCTTCCAGCACTGGCCACAGCTTGCTGAGGTGGGGCAGTGTCGGGGCCCGGGGTCCTCAGCCAGCCCTCCCGCCCGCCGTCGCACAAGCGCCCCAAGGCCCTCTGCACGGGACATTTGCTCTGGCGAATGAGTCCCATGTGTCCTGTCCAAGGCCACTTGACCCACAGGGACCAGTCAGCCTGGAACCCAGTTCTGCCTCGTGGCCAAGCCCCCTTCCTGCCCTGGGCCACCAGCCTGCCGTGTCTGGGGTGGCCTCTCACCTGTGGGGCCTCGGGCATGGTTGGCAGAGCCCCTGTCCCTCAGGCCACCCGGATGCGGAGTGTCCTGGCTGCCTACTGTGTCCAGAGCGCCTACTGTGCGCCTCAGCCTAGCCAGAGTCACAGGARCACAAGACCACGGGGCTCCAATGGTTCCCTTTTGGGGAACCRCACAGCCTGCCGCTAAGCCCCTGGGGACACAAGCTGCCAGTGGCCAGTGGCCAGGAGGGGAGGACACTGGACCCTAGGGGAGACCCCTAGAGGAGAGCCAGGCAGTGGTGGCCTTCAGGAGCAAGGAGCACGGGGACAAGGGACCCCGGGTGGCAGGCTCAGAGGCTGGCTTGGTGGCCGTGGCTCGGAGGCGTGGTCTGTGGCCCTTCTGCTCAGAGCAGCCGCGCGAGTGGGCAGAGGGCGGCCTGCCCTGCCCAGCCCCAGCCTGCTGCGGGGAAGCCCGGGCTTCAGAGGTGTCCAGAGGGACAGGCGGCCCCGCGGGCCTGGCCCTGGCTTTTTCCACTGCACGGCTGAGTGGAGGAAGGGAGTGGCCGGCGGGCCCAGCCTCCCTCGGCCTGGCCTCCCTCAGCCTCTCCCCATCASGAGGCCCGGGACACCTGCTGCTTCCTCCCTCTGCCCTCGGGCTCTTCTTTTTTTAAAAATCTATGCTTTCACTATTTTTTATTCTACTTTGCTGTGTAGCCTGGTGGCATTCTAAGACCCCACCTCACGGGGAGCCGCTGTCGTGACCTGCCTTATGCCACACAGCTGGTGACAAGACRCAGCCGAGATTCACACCCAGGGCTGCCAGCCTCCAAACCGGTGTTTGCCTGGGGTGCCCAGGGTGGAGGGGGGATAGGTGCCCGCACCAATTTAAGGTGCCAGGTGTCTTTTATTCTCAGAACTTCCCTGTGAGGTAGGGCCCCTTCTTTACCCAGGGACGGATAGCTAGACTGAGGTACAGAGAGGTTAAGTGACTTTCCCATAGGCGCACAGCTAAGAGTGTGGATTGGGATTGGAAAACGACTTGAGCAGTTAAGCCCTGAGCCTCGGGCCCCTACTGTGACAGTTTGGGACTTTTTGAGAAGCCTTTCTGCCCCTGCTTTGGCTATTGACAGGAAAAAAGTAGGGGTGATTGTTCCCATTTCACAGAGGAGAGCGCTGCAACTCCCTGGAGCCAGCCGCGGAGGCTCAGCCCCTCCCACGAGGCTGGGCACCCCTCAGGGCAGGGCCTGTCCCACCCCAGGTCTGGCTCCAGGCCGGGCCCCATCCAGTGCTGCTCAGGGATGGGGGAGTCTCTCTGCCCCGAGGTCCTGAGAGGTGGGACTTGGAGCCCCACTTCACAGGTGGGGGACATCTTGCCCAGGGCCACAGGAGGGCACAGCAGGACTGCACCATTGTCATTTGGTGGCCTGTCCTGCCTCCTTGGTGACGGCTGCCATTGGGGGGACGTGGAGGCTCTGGCCAGGGGACACTCGGGACACCCGCTCAGGGAACCAGGTGGCACTTCGTCTTAGAGTTCCACGCAGACCTGCCCTGAGCACGTCCCGCYGGCTCATTCACCTTAGGGACGTGAAAATGTGTGGTCCTGCCCAAACCAGGGCGCCTTCGCGGTGACAAGCAGGGCTGAGGAGCCCAGGGCGTCACCCCCGGGGCCAGAGCTGGCTCCCAAGGTCATGTGCAGTGTTTCTGTCCCCGTGGAGAAAACCAGYCTCAGGGAGAGAGAGAACAGAGCCCAGGTGCTGGGAGGCTGTGGCGGGGGAGGAGTTGGGGTAGTGACCTGGTGGAGGTGGCCGCTCCGTGAGTGACTCAGGGACTAAAACCCACGCACACAGCCAAAAAGTTGCTCTAGTGTCCAGACAGGATGGCCAGGGCCAGGCGACCTCGGAGCATCCTTCCACGAGGGACAGGCAGGGCACCAGGCTCTGCCCCCTGCCTCCTGCTGGCTCCTGTGGGCAGCCAGGCCTGGTGGCGGGAGGGACGCTCGTGACAGTTTCTGTCTGGATTCGTGGAAGGTGGTGGCCAGGGCTGAGCCATGGGGACAGCCAGAGGTTGATGTGGACCCTCTGTGGGGCGCGGGCTCCCTGGAAGTCCCTGAGCTCTTCCCATGTCCCCAGGGCGCRTGTGCAAGGGAGAAGAGGAGAGCCACCCCATTCCCTAGGTGGGGGCCTCGGCCAGGGCTCAGGGGGCCTGTGACCCAGCCGTCACACCCACCACAGACCCCTGCTGTGCCGTCCTCCGTCCCTCCTGGACACGGCCCAGGAGACACCCTATGTATCCCGCGCAGAGCCCCCGACTCCTGTGCCCCAGGGACTCTGTCCTGACGGTGCTCTGGGTGTCGGTCCTGCTGAGGGCATTGGCAGGCTCATGAGGGACGCAAGCCCGGGGACATTCCTTAGTCCCTTCCCGCAGCCCTGGGTCACTCAGCCCTGGACAGCCGGTGCTCTGGAGGAGGGATGGTGGCCTCGGAGCTCTCCTGCCGGGCAGGGTGGCCGCGGGTGGAAACGAGGAGCCAGGATACCCAGGGCATGTGGGGGTGCCACTGTCCTTCAGCATGGTCTTGGGGGACACCGTGGTTTCCTCCTCTGCAGAGTGGGTATAAGTAGTGCCCCTCTTGCAGGGTGGCTGTGATTGGAGGAGCCCAGGGCCACCACGGGCCAGCGGGGGGCTTTCCCCTTTCCTGATGACACTCCTGTCTCCTGTGTAGACGGTGCCAGCAGCCGACAGGACCCCAGCAGCCCATCCCTGACCTCCAGTGCCGGGCTCACAGTAGGTGGTCAAGACCAGCGGGAGGTGGCTGGGATTGGAGGGGTGGCAGATTGTGGGAGCTGTGGGGTGACAGAGGGGCRGGGGGTGTTGGGGGGGCAAGGCCTGGGCAGGACACCTGCACGGTGCCCCCTGGACAGACGCCCCTCCCCCCCTCGGGTCCTGGGGTGTCAGGAGGTTGTCTGGAGGCTTGGGACGAGGCTAGCTGTGTGGCAGGATCGCCTGGGCAGTGAGCATGGCCCTGGACCCAGGGACTCAGAAACCCTCCCGGGGTGGGCATGTGTCCCCTCTTTGGAGCCTTGTTTGACCTCCTGGCCCAGGCTCCGAGGGCAGTGGCTCCTCCTGGGCCTGACTGCCTTCCCCTGGCCCAGCCCTCCCCGGTGGGCTGCCGTGGCCACTCAGGTCCGACGAGCGGGGCAGAGGTGGCCCGAGCAGCGCCCCGCACCCATTGGACAGACGGGTCCGCCGAGGCCGCCTGCGGTCAGCTCCCGGGCCCGGGGGCGTGGCCTCCCCTGCCGTGGAAGCTGCGCAGGCGCCCAGGCCTGAGGCCGGTGTCTCCCCCCGCAGCCCCCCTGCAGAAGCCGGGCTCCAGGACACCATGGCGGCCAAGCAGCCCCCACCCCTCATGAAGAAGCACAGCCAGACGGACCTCGTGAGCCGCCTGAAGACCCGCAAGATCCTGGGCGTGGGCGGGGAGGACGACGACGGCGAGGTGCACCGCTCCAAGGTGGCCCTGCGCCCACTCTGCCGCTGAGCGCCCGCYCCGGGAAGGGGAGGCCGGGGAGGGCAGGAGACGGGGCCCGGTCCAGTCAGAGGCATCAGGGAGGTGTCAGGACTAGTGACCACAGGGAGGGTGGTTTGCTGGGATCAGGGTGGCACGGATGGCSCCCCGGGTGGTGGAGTCAGGTAGCCCCCACTTTGTGGGTAAGAGACCCAGGCCCAGAGAGGGTGAGCCGCTTTCTTGAGGCCACCACCATAAGTGGCAGGAGCCTCCTTTTTAAGTTTTTATTTTGTTTTGTTTGTTTGGGTAATGGAGATTGAATCTAGGGGTGCTTTTTACTTTACTTTTTATTTTGAGGGGTCTTACTACACTTTTTGTTTTGAGAGGGTCTTACTAAGTCCACGAGGCTGGCCTTGACCTTKCGATCCTCCTGCCTCAGCCTCCTGGTTCGCCGGGATTCCAGCTGAGCCTCCCTTCTTACCACTTTACTTTCAACTTCTTTTAAACCCAGTGCCAAGGCAGTGTGGGGGGGAGGCAGCCTCAGTGTGACCCGCCCAGCTCTGGGGGAGCCTTTTGCCAAGCAGAGGTACCCAGGTGGCTCCTGAGTGTGCCCGGGGCCCTGGGAGGAAGACCCGTAGCTGCGGTGCTGAGAGCTGTCCCCCCTCTGACCCCTCCCTGTGTCCACAGATCAGCCAGGTCCTGGGCAATGAGATCAAGTTTGCTGTCCGCGAGCCTTTGGGGCTCAGGTGAGCCTCAGCCCTGAGTGTTGTTTGTGGGGACAGAGTCTGTGTGTCGGGGAGACCCCCTTGTGTGGCCTTGGCCCTGCGTCTTCTTGTCCCTGTTCCATCCCATCACGTGGCCTGTCCCCTCACCCAGCCATTACTGGGCATCTAGGCTGGAAAGGGGAGTCCCCTGGGGCMCGCCCGGGCTGACCTTGGGGGTCCGGCTGTGACCTTGCTCTCCTGTCTCCAGGGTTTGGCAGTTTGTCTCTGCTGTGCTCTTCTCTGGCATTGCCATCATGGTGAGCCCCCCCCCCCCGTCCCCCTGCCACCTGGCCTCTGGCAGAGCAGGTCCCCAGCCTCCCTGCTGACTGGACCCAGGACCCAGAACTAGACTCGGCCCTGGGTGTGGCTCCCGGCCTCCTCCTGCCCTCCCGGGGGCTCCTCCTGCCAGCCCCTGGCAGCCTGTCCCCATGCGGCCATCATGCTGGCCCCTGGGAGGGCTTTCTGGTGTCTCCCCAGGCCTGTCCCCACCTGTCCCCACCCCGTTCCATGGGCTGCAGCCCAGCTCCTTGCCCCCGGAGCCCCAGAGCCTCCCCCGTCCTGCGGAGGGTGGGGCAGTCCTGTCCTGACCCTGAACTGCCCGAGGACACTGGCCCCAGTCCAGGGAGCACACCCCAGCCCTGAGCCTGACCTTGGAGCCCCCCCCGCTGTCCACAGGCCCTGGCCTTCCCTGACCAGCTCTATGACGCGGTCTTTGATGGAGCCCAGGTCACCAGCAAGACCCCCATCCGCCTCTACGGTGGCGCCCTCCTCAGTGAGTATTCTGGGGGGTGGGAGGTGAGACCCCCTGGGCTGAGGGACCCCCAGGGGACCTTCCCCTGCACTGGGGCCCTTCTTCCCTCGCTGGCTGCAGCAGCTGCCCAACCTGTGGTGCGGCTGCTGGTGTGTGCTGCCATCTTGTGGCCACGGGTGGGATGCGCCAGGATTGGTGTCTGCCCGGCGGCCCCCTGGGTACTGGGATGCGGAGACAAGGAACCCGCTCTGCTTCCTCTGATCTGAGTCGCTCACTGCGGCTGGCTGGCCCTTAGGAAGGTGAATCACAGTTTTCCAAGCTCGGCGTCGGTGGTGTCCCTCCGTTCCCTAAAACATGCTATGGCTCCCTATCGCCTGCAGAATAAAGCCCTGGCGACTCTGCCTGGCATTCAGGGTCCTCGAGGTGGGTCCAGCCGGCCCCTCTATCTGCCTCCCCCCATCCTGCCAGGGGCCCTGGGCTCCAGCCACAGCTGATGGTGCCCACTCCCCAGTTTCAGAAGCCACCGTGTCCTKGCACATGCCCCCCTGAAGGGGGGCTGGGGGGAGTGTGGGGGCGGGGCGGCACCACYTTCGCACAGAGGGGGCTCCGGTGGGAGTTGGGGGTGCAGAGCCTGCGCCGGCCCAGGGCGGCAGGAACGGACTCCGCCAACGTGGGACTGAGGGAGACGCAGGCCCAGGCCTGGAGCTCCTCTCCCGTTCCCCGCAGGGGACAGTGTTGGCTCAGTGTCCCACGGGGCCTTGGAGATGGCATGAGCGGATCTGGACCCAGAGRCCATGGGCTGGGCACAGATGCGTTTCGACCTGCGAGTGAGCAGGGCTGGGGTGGGGACCTCTGGGACTGGCCGTCTGCAGGGGGCCCGGGTGGGAGGAGCAGGCCCCTGCCGGGCCCCCGGGGCAGGTGGACCAGGCTGTCCCCACCCCCATGCTCCCTGTCCCTGTCCAGGCATCTCCCTGATCATGTGGAATGCCCTCTACACGGCGGAGAAGGTCATCATTCGGTGGACCCTGCTCACTGAGGCCTGCTACTTCGGGGTGCAGTTCTTGGGTGAGTGTCGAGGTGGACAGTGTGGGAGGCACGGGAGGCGCGGGGGCAGCTCTGGGGCTGGCAGGAAAGCAAGGGCACCTGCCTGGGGGGAGGAAGCAGGGGACGGTGGCGCAGGACCCCGGGCCCAGAGCTGGCTCAGTCTGGAGTCCTGTGTGCAGGGGGACACATCCTCCCCCTGACCTCTGACCCCTCCCTGGCCTTCCTCCCTCAGTGGTCACTGCCACGCTGGCCGAGACGGGCCTCATGTCCCTGGGGATCCTGTTGCTCCTGGCCAGCCGCCTGCTCTTCGTGGTCATCAGCATCTACTACTACTACCAAGTCGGCCGGAAACCCAAGAAAGTCTAGCCGGCCAGGGAGCTGCGGGCCTGGCCAGGGTGGCTGTGGGGCTGCGTTCCCCTTTGGCTCCCGGGAGGCAGGAGGGGCCCCTGCTCCTGCCCAGGCAGCCGGTGGCACCTTCCTTCTCTCCCGGGAAGTCCCCAGATGTGGTGACCTCTGGCCTTTGGGTTTGACATGCCAGCTTGGGGGAGATGGGGCCATGTACCCCAGTCCTCACCGCACACAGTGGCACCTCCTTCCCTGGGCACTCTTGGCCCCCCGGTCCCCTCGCCAGGCACCGGCTGAGGGTCGTGGTCCCAGCAGCAAGGGCTGAGTGGGCTCCTCCCCGGGGAAGCCCCCTCTCGTGGGAGAGGCTGTGGGCTGCCACCCCCTGACCCCACCCACCCAGGGCCCCAGCAGCTGAACCCGACTTCTCTCTCTGCCTGGAGAACCTGAGAACTTGACCCTGGCCAGTGTCCCTCAGTCTGGGCCCTCCGCACACRGGGCCCCGCACCTGAGCACGCAGCCCCGCCGAGGGCCAGAGGGCTGTCTCTGAGCTGAGCTTTCTGCGAGGATGGGCCACCTGCCGCTGGACGCTCTGGCCCCTCCCCAGGCCTGTCCACCTGGGTCTCGGGGGCCTTGCTCTGGGCACTCTGCCCATGTCCTCCTCACACTGATGGACACACGGACTTGTAAGCTGTGGGCTTAGAAACGAGGAAGAAAACACTTGGTATCTCCTTGTCCTTTGGCATGTCCTCCAGGCCTGGTGTTCCCCTGTCCCAGCCCCTTGTCCCCCACTCCTTCCCAGGTGCTGCTGCCTGGCCCCTGGCCGCCCTAGCGTGGCTGGGTGGGGCTCGGTGCCCTCAGGCTCTGCAGGGGCAGTAGGTAGTAGCTTTCCAGCCTCCTGTCACCTCCCCCTCCTCCCGAATCGCCCTGGAGACGGCTGTCAGTGGCCCCTGGCGCTGTGGGGCCTGGTCTGGTTCCTCCGTCCTCGCCCCCCAGCRCTGCCTCCCTGCAGCACCCAGGCTGCCCGAGGAGTGGGACAGTGTCCCAGGGACAGGTGTGCAGAGCCCCCGCCCCGGGCTGGCCTGCCTCCCTTCTGGGGACAGCGGGGTTGGCAGTAGGTGAGGTGGCCTGCAGGTGCGGTCAGCCCAGCTGCTGCCACAGAGATGGTGGCAGGTGCCCCTCTGCCTGGGGACCCTCCCCTGCCCAGTCTGTGCCTAGTGTCCCTGCAGCCACACACCCGGTGGCCTGTGTCCCGCAGAGCGGTGGCTGTACCGGGTTACGTAGCTGGGGAGAGGGCCTGCTGGTGGCCGGGCTGTGCTGCTGGTCGTCATGGCCTGGTGGTGTGGGAGGGCGCTCCGAGTGGGCACCCTCTCCTGGCCCTGGCCCTGGCCCTTGGGTCTCCCACCTCCCACCTCCTGTGCTGAGCCTGGAGCCCGGCCCTGTCTGCGTGGACCTTTGAAGACCAGCTGGTCCCAGTGGTGACAGCTGGCCTGTCCTCCCCAGAGCTGCTGGACATGTGGGTCCCATCCCTCTGGGGAGACCCAAGCCCTCGCTGTGGTCAGGCCGCAGTGGCATCTGCATGGTGGGGGCCACCGGTCGGAGACACTGGGCTGCGGGGTGCGGAGGGCAGCCGGCCTTGGCCTGGGGGTGACATGGAGGGTCACACGGCCCAAGTCGCACATGGCACTGAGCCTGGGGAGCTGGGCGAGGGCACGGCCCACAGGAGGTCTGTGTGGCTTGGGGGCAGCAGGTGGGGGGACATCAAGACGGGGATGACGTGTGGCTGGGAAGGAGGCCATGACAGGGCAGGGGTGGGCCCGGGTCTCAGGAGGGAAGCCGGGGGCCTCTGCCTTCGAGCTGGGGGTGCCCGGCCGCCCCTGCCCGCAGCCCCCGCCCTCCAGCCCCGCCCGGCCCAGGCCCCCCGAGTCACCCCTGTTCTTCACCGTCACTATTTATTCTTTGTTCCTTTTTCCTTTTGTAAGAAACAGTCACAAAAACCAGTGCAAAACCCTCCGTGGCGTCCTGTTCTCTGTCACAAAATCCTCCTGAGGCGCGGCACAAAGGGGCTCACGGGGGATGGTGACGGCTCTGCAGCTCCAGCAGCGGGGGACGGGGGGACGGATCTCAAAACAGACCTTCAACGTGCGGCCCACAGAGCAAGGGACGGGGGCTGCTGGGCAGAGGGGCGGCCACCACCCCGGCTGGTTGGGGCCGTCGGGTCTGGGCCCCTTGGCCCCCGAAGCARGCTGGGCACCAACAAGGGTGTAGGGGAGGCCGACCCCTTCTCTGGGAGGCGGTGGCTCAGCACGGGCAGGGGCCACCTTGCTGTCGGCTCAGCCGGGGACAGTCTCAGCTGGGCTGTTCTGGAGGAGCCGAGACGGCCTGACCCTGCCGGCAGGTCAGGCTGGGCAGCTGGGCCACACCCACAGGGTCCTTGGTGCCAGAGCTCTTGCCCTGGTGGGGGCTGTGACTTCAGGGGACCTTGCAGATTGCTGCCAGCCTGAGCAGATGCCGCAGGGACAAACCCTGTGTCCCCTTCAGGCTCCGAGGTGCAGAGGGCAGGGAGTCGTGTKGGGGTGGACAGGCTCCTGAGGAGTCTCGGAGCCGCTCTGGGCCCACCTGGGCCACATGCCCCCTGGTCTGCCCTTCACCGACACCCTCACTCTATGGGCCCTGGAGGCTTGGGGTGCCCCTGGACCCGGGCTGCCCAGCCTAGACGTGGGATTTCTGGTCAACCCGGGCCAGCCGTCTGCCTTCCGGGAAGCTGGGCCTGAGGCTGGGCAGGTCCAGAGCAGGCAGGCCCTGGCCCTGTCTCAGGCGAGGCTGGGCTGAGACTGGCCAGGCGTCTTGCTATCTACTTGCCAACACYGATTTGGAGTGTGAGGCCTGTACAGTGGTGGGGTTGTGTGGGTGGGAATCTGTGGGTCTGTGGGGAGATCCGGAGGGGACACAGAAGTATCACGTGGWCAATGGAAGGGCTGGACACTGTGTGGCAGCAGAAATGGCTGAGATGCCTGAGGGGCTCTTTAGCTTACAGACAAGAGGGCTTCTGGGAGCCAGTGTGTGACCTTGACCCTCAGGAAGGGCAAGGAGCAAGTGGGACGCACAGACGGAACCAGAGGAAAGCAGAAGCCTGTTCTGTCTGTGGAGCTGACTGGGGTGGGAGCAGTGCAAAGGCTGCCTGGGGAGGTAGTGAGCTCCCTGTCCCTGGAGGTATGCAAGAAGAGGGTGGAGAATTCTTGGCAGGAGTCTTGCAGAACATATCCAAGCCTCCATTCTGGGTGGGTACAGGGAGAACCAGAAGATTTGGGGGGGTTTCTTTCATCCTGGGGCCAGGGAGTTGGGGATGGACAGGGAGGAGGAGCCGGTGGGGAGAGGTGGGCAGTGTGCCCCAGGGGAAGGCTGTGTGTCCATGGCAGGGGGCTGGTGGAGAAGTGGGGAGGTGAGGGAAAGGGGGACAGCGATCGACTTCTTAGCTGCAGAGCCGGGAGGGGACATTTCCTGGGCAGCTGGTCCCATCTTTCCTGGGAAACCAGGATCCTGAGGCCAGAGGGTATGTGAGCCGCGGACCCCACGGTGTCCCGGGTGGAGAGACGCACCCCAGAGAGGAGCCAGGTTCTTGTTCAGCACCACCACACCTGTGCTGTGTGACGCCACAGCCCACAGTCCCTCTCTGGGCCTCACAGGTGATTTGGTCCGACAGATGGGGACAGGAGGGACTGCCAGCGGGGCCACTCCCAGACACAGCTCCGTCCCCTGGCAGTGCAGGGACTGCCCTCCAGGTTCCGAGCCCCCGAGGGTGAGGCCACCGAGTCTCCTGGGGGCTCTGGGGCTTGGTCAGTGTCTTCTTGTGGCCTCGTTTTCTTGGCACCAGGTCGCGAAGCTGTGGGTTGAGAGCGCCCAGGCCCAGGCGCGCCCGAGAGGCCTGGCCTGGCTGCATCCCGGGTCAGGCGCGGGGTCCCAGCCCCGGCGAGGGCGCGTCAGTCCCCATTTCTGTCTTCATCTTGTTAAAAAAATAGCTGTGCGCTCCTGGCCCGTCCGGCCGCCCACGAAGGCCTCGTCTCCGCCCTGGGGCCAGGGGCACCCGGAGGGGCACAGGTGCTGGGCTTGGTGGGCGGGGCCAGTCCTCAGGCCACGCCCCCTACTGGATGCCCCGGAAGAGGCACATGGCGAAGATCATGACGGAAAGCTGCGAGGAAGAAAGCGACCTGACGGGGCGCGGCCCGGGCCCGGGGGCGCCCAGCCCAGCCCTCCCCAGGGGTCGGGCCCGTCTGCCTCGGGGTGCTCTTCTGCAGGGGTTCCCCGGATGTTCTCCTGGGGCAGTCACCTGGGGAGGGCGACTTTGGAAACTAACTCATGGGTTCAGACCCAGGTGCCCACTTCTCAGTGGTGGCTTTGGGTCACTTGCTCTGGGCCTGAATGGAACCACAGCTTAGCACGTGCCAGGCACAGCTCTGAGTGCTTCCCAGAAAGCACAGAGAGGTCACATAATCTGCCTAAGGTCTCACAGCTACAACGGGGAGCCAGGGTTGGCATCCAGGCATCCTGGCCCTAGGGGCTGTGCTCAGGACCCCTGCACTCTCTGCCTGCGGCTCAGAGGGCAGTGAGAGAGGGGTGGAAGGCAATTAGCTGACCACGTCCTGAAGCCTGTCCTCTAGTAGATGCTCAGTAAAAGCTCCTCGWCTGTTATTAAGGGGCAAGGCAAGCTGGGTGCGGTGTGCACACCTGTCATCCCAGCAGCTGGGGAGGATCGCGAGTTCAAAGCCAGCCTCCGCAACAGCAAGGCGCTAAGCAACCCAGGGAGACCCTGTCTCTTCATAGAACACAAAATAGGGTGGGGGGTAGGGCTCAGTGGTCGAGTGTCCCCAACTTCAATCCCTGGTAGAACCCGCCCCCCCCCCCCCCGAAAAAAAAGAGGCCAGGGAGCTCTGGCCCTCCCCAGGGTTAGGAGCACAGCGCTGAACACCTCAGGGCCTGGGCTGGTGGGAGAGGCAGAGGCCTGACACAGGGACTCTGCGTGATCAGAGCTGCTGCGGTCCCCGCGCCCAGAGCTCTTCCTTCCAGGGGCACAGGGAACAAGCCCTCGACCACAGATCACGGCCACGTGGCCAGGAGGCTCCGGTGAGAGGCACTGCCAGCCAGAGTCATGGTCCTGGGGGCCCGTGGGCTGGACAGGGAGTGGGGTGCCGATCATGTGTGATCCCACCCAGAGTCCCTGCACCACCCCAGTGCTGTCCCTGTCACCTGAGACCCTCACACTGTGGGAGAGGCAGGTGAGGAAACTGGCCCAGAGGACCTGGTCTGAGGACAAGCAGAGCCAGGAGCTGGACTCTGGCCCGGCGCCACCTAGTGGTGGCTCAAGGCCTGCAGCACTCCCGTCTGGGGCTTGGGGGTAAAGGGGCTAAGACCAGCAGGCTCTGGACACCCCGCCCCGCCCACGGAAGGGCCTGGTCCCCAACCACAGGCTGCAGCTGGTCCCCKGAAGCAGCGACACTGTCGCCTTCCACAGTGTGCCCTGGGGACCTTGGCTCAATCCCCACTCCTGGAAGACAGCACCCAAAACACACACCCTGCCCCCTGGAGTGGGTGACAGTGCTACCCAGTCCCACTGCCCAGAGACTGGCTCAGAAGTGTCACCTCCATAGCCCAAGGCTGACTCTCAACCTGGGTGGGTGGCCRGGCTCACCGCCCCTGGGGCGCACTCGGGAATCCCCCAGGCAAGGATCCGAGGGAGGCGGAGGGTGCGCCCCGGCTCTGCCTGGCCCCTGGGGAGGGGCCTTCACTTACCTCGATGGCCAGGACCCCGATGGCCAGCGCCCCCGCCAGGTAGACGTAGGTCTCGAAGGTGTTGAGGATCACCGCGTAGCAGCCCTGGGGGGAAGGGTCAGCGGTGAAGCCACCGCCGGAGGGACAGTCTGGGCCCCGGCCAGCGTCAGCACTGGGTCATGGCGCGTGGCCCCAGGGCTCAGCGGCTGCTGGGCTAGACTCGGGTGGAGGAGGTGGGACGTGGGAGACCTGGCAGCACCCGAGGCCCCCCAGCCACCGGCCCCCAGGGCGGGGCTGAAAACCAGCAGCCTAGGCCTCTGGAAGGCTGGGCGCTGGCCTTGGTGTCCACGCTCCTGCGGCTCTTGAGAAATCAGAAGGCCCAGCATGGCGAGCCGTTCTCGTGTGGCCCTACCAGCGGCTGCTCCATCAATGGGACCGGTGCTCCCTGGAGGCCGCGGTCCCCCTGGGTCCCTATTGTCCCACACCCATCCTCATTACCTGCCTGGCTGGCTGCAGGAGGACTCTTGGATTTTAGATTTTACCCTAAGGAAACGCAGCCCAGCCTTCAAAACTGCGCTCCTTCCTCACCTGGGGACACCCGCCCAGRTGGACGTGGAGCCAACAGCGGGGCCTGAGGTGGGAGGAGTGGCAGAGGCTGACCAGGAGCTGGGCAGTGGAGGCCCCTGCCCCCCCTGGACCCCAGGTATGAACAGGCCCCACCAGCACAGTGGCCTGGTCCTCGGTGCTGGTGGGTCCCCGGGCCTCGGAACCACGCCTGGAGGCACTCAGCYACGCAGATGCCCTGGGGAGATGGCAGTGCGGGGACACAGCCAGGCTCTGAGGCAGAAGCCTCCAGAGACGGGAGCCAGGAGAGGGCGTCTCCCCACCTGGACCTGTCTCGGCAATGCCACCCGGGGCCTAGCCACAGGCTGTGTGACCGGGACAGAGCCCAGAGGAGCCCAGGGCCCTACCCCGGGCCAGCTGGTCAGGAACAGTGTGGCTGTAGGAGCCCCACTCCCCGGCCAGGCCCGGGGCTGCCCTGGTCTCCCGCTGTCCCCTGCAGGGTTCCACCTGAAATCTCTGTCTGCCCTTTGGAAAGCCCCAGAGGCCACGGTGTTGACCCAGCCCTGCTCCGGGGAGGGGAYGGGGAGAGGGTTGTCTTGGGATCAGTCCTGGGAGGGCCTGCTGCTGGCCACCTGCCCACCAGGGACAGCCAGGGCGACTCCGCCCCAGCACACTCGGGGTCTGTGAGGTGCCTCAAGGGGGCTGCGCAGACAGGAGGCAGCCGTGGCCAGGGGAGCGGTGGCAGGTGACAGTTCCACACATGGCCGGGGACCCGCCTGCCTGGGTCACAGCCCAGCCCGCCACTGGCCAGCTGGGCAGGTCTGGCTGCCCACTCAGCCCCTCTGGGCCTCAGGTGTGTAAAACGGGCCATTGGGATGCGCTTCCTCCCAGGGCGAGGGGCCACGCAGTGAGGCTCTGCCTGGAACAGGTGGCAGGTGGCAGGTGCTTTCGGTCCCTGCTGCGAGTGGCCTCCCTCTCAGCGTGCCCCGAGTTGGGAAAGTGAGCAAAGCCGGTGTGGGTGTCCCCGTGTGCCTGGGACGGCTGGGGGACCATCCGTCACACACCACGCACGCGCACACCCAGCACCAGGGGACGGAGACACAGCAACTCCCTTCTCCAGCTTGGAACCGGCTTTCGCAGGCTTCCCCACAGGCAGGCGGCTGGCAGGGGGCGGGGGACCCAGGCCCTGCCCCTCAGGATTATCCCCAAAGGCCCCTGGGCCCTGCAGTGAGCCCAGCAGGTGGGTTGGCCTTTGAGACCCTTGGGACCATGTCACCCAGGCTGCACCCTGCCAGGAGGTGACTGCCCTCCTGGTGGGTGGTGGGTCTTAACAGGATGAGTCCAGAAGCGGGTCGGTGACGCCCTGAAGGAACGGCCGTGGGCAGCCTCCTGAGAAGGAGTTCGCRGCCCTGGAAGGAGGTCAGTCTGGCCACGAGCCCCCACAGCCCAGGCTCCTTCAGAGCCCAGAGAACCGGTCACCCCAGACCCTGAACTAGGGAGACCGCTCTGCTCTGCGGCCGTCAGTGGCCCGGGCTCTTCCCCTCTGGATGCTCTGCCGTCCCGGGGGCAGATGCGGTGCTTTCTCTCGAGGATGAGACTCAGACTGCCGCACCACCTCTGCTCACCTCCTGTTGGCTAGAACTCTGTGGCCTGGCTGCAGGGGAGGCTGGGAGGCTGGGCCTCGACCTGGAGGCCTGAGGTGGAAATGGGACCCCACCTCCTGTGGTTGACCCACGCAGGTCTCTGGGGACCCAGATCCCAGGGTGGCCCCAGCTGCCCCAGACTCCTGGTGGCCTGATCCCAGGGTCCTCATTCTTTCTTTGTCCCTTTTCCCCAGCGTAGGAAGGCAGGGCTGTGTGGGGAGGCTCCCGGGTCCTGCACCCGGGGGGCCGCGCAGGGGAGAGGTGCTGGGCCCCTGCTGAGGCTGTCGAGGCTCCTCGGCCTCGGGGCTCTGGCTCCTGCTCCACAGTCTCCTCCTCTGGGACCCCACTCCAGCCCCTCACCTGGCTTTCCCTGTGTCACGGCCATCGTCACCTGCCACACTGTTCCTTTGTGCTGTTTGAACCTTGTCCGACCTGGGCTTCCTCTAACCAGACCAGGAGCCCCCGGGGACCAGGGCCTGGCTTCCTGGCCCTGCTGGGTCTGGGGCCTCCAGAGCTCTCCCAGGAGAGCCTCAGTCCACGAGGGACAGGCGTGGCCCAGCTCCCCTCKGCCCCTCCTGTCCCCCTGCCCAGCCTGACCTCGTGCATGTACGAGGCCAGGGCAGAGGTGTTAGGGTTTGGAAACTCATGTGTGGAGGACTCCCACGCAGCCACGTTCAGAGGTGGGGTTGGGGAAGGGACCAAATCATGAGGGCTCTGATCTGATCGGTGGATTAATCCATTTATGGGTTCACAGTGGACTGGGCTTGGGGGAGGGGCTTTGTTATAACAGCCGCTCTCTGTTTGCTCCCSGGCTGCCATGAGGKGGGCAGCTCTGCTCCYCACACACTCCTGCCACCACGGGCTGCTTCACCACAGCAATGGAGCCAGCCAACMGCAAATGGAAACCTTTCCTCTTTAACCTGATGGTTCTCAGTCATTTTGTTAYAGCAACGGAAAGCTGACTCACATGGACGGGCAAGGGCATTTTGTGTCTCATGGAAGGGGCAAACCTGGAGCCCTGTTTCCGCAGCACAACACATAGGGAAAGGGAAAGGGCTTCAGGTTGCAAGAGAAGTCTAGAAGCTTTCCTGACCTTGGACAGTCAGGTTGCTCCCTGGGAACCATGGGGTGCTCCCACGTGACAAACGTGAGCTTTCTGTGGAATAGAGTGCATGGCTAAGAAGATTCCCACTGGGAAGTTGTGRTCTTCCCCCCTTCCCCTGACCTGAACTTTCAAAACCAAGCTCAAGAAACACGGGAAGACTCCTGCGCACCCCTGAACCCCAACCCCAATGCCCACGCCAGCCTCGGCCACGCTCCTCTCCCTCTTGTCTCTCCCCTCAGCCAGCGCCGTGGCTGCACGTACCTGCGTGTTGATGAACAGGCTCCTCCCCGAGACGCACTCCTCCCTGTTCAGCAGGACCCCTTTCCGCCCCTGGGGCTCCCGCCGGCAGCAGGCCTCGGGCACCTCCTCGCGGTCTCGGGCCAGCATTTGGTAAATTGATGCGAATTTGAAGTCTTCAGGCCCGTTGACTCCACAGCAGCCGAACTGGGGGGACAGCGAGCAGGTGGATCAGACAGGAGCCAGAGCCGGGGACAGAGGACYGGCAGTCTCCCAGAGGAGGGGCCAGAAGGACTGGGGGTGGCCTGGCTCTCTGTCCTGTGTGACTGTGGGAAGGTCACTCGGTCTTCCTGAGCCTCCCGTGTCCTGTCTGTCCAGTGGGTGGCGTGACCATTCAGCCTCCCAGCACCTAGTAAGTGCTCAATGCACAGTGGCTGTGGTCATGCTGTGTCCACGCCCACAGGGGCAAACAGRCCTCCCTCCGAGTCTGGGCTGTGCTCAGTGCTGAGCTGGGCTCGGTGGGAGAGTGCTGTCACCCATGGGTGATGTCCAGCCAGGCACGTGGACAGAAGGACTCTGACCACCCCCGACCAAACGCCCGCAGCCCCCCGCGCCCCCCCTCCCCCCCCCGGCAGGGGCACTCACGGTGACCATGACCGAGTTCCAGGTGGCGGAGAAGACGTCCGTGTCGTTGTCGCCCTGGTAGTGCTTGGTGAGCTCCTTGGTGAAGAACTCCCGCGTGAGCTGGGGGAGGAGAGGGCCTGAGCCGCGCTGGGGACCCCGCCGCCCCCTCTGCTGCTGGGTGGGCTGAGAGCGGGGCAGGCCCCACCACGTCCCCGGGCTGTGGCCCCCCTCGTGGTTACCCGCTCACTGCTGTGACAAGCRTCCCGGCACCCCCGGAGCTGGGCACCCTGCCAGCCTCGCTCAGCCACGAAGTCGCCCCAGCAGAGGGCTTATGGCCCCCAGGCTCTGGGCTGCACCCCCACCTCCCACCCCSAGCTGCTCCTTGGAAGTGTCTCTTGTTCCCAAAACATTCTCCTGAGGTCGCTGACCACCCCCTGCTGCCTCAGGCTGCTGCAGGGGGTCCAGGTCATGGTGGGGCTGGAGCCCTGGATGAGAGGCCGCGGCTCTGTGAGGCCCTCTGAGGAGGACGGGCTGGCCCTGAGTGGCCGCCAGCCTTTGGTGGGTGGCAGGTGGCGGGAGGCCCGGTACCTACGTTTTCCCTGAAGATGAAGGCGAGGACCGCCACCGAGAGCTCCGCCAGGAAGATGATCAGGATGAACAGGAAGAACTGCAGGGACAGGGGGCGGGCTCTGAGACCTCAGCACGGGCCGGAGGGGACAGAGTGGCCGCTCCGTGAGGCCCTGCCGGTCGGCTGCGTAACTGACCTGGTACGCTAAACATGTAAGACTCAGCAACGGCACCGCCATAAGTTGACAGTTTTCTTAAAGATACCAATGGCCCATCTTTGGAGTCAACAAAGTTGTAATAAAAATGTGAAAAATAAATAACGCAAATGGTGCCCCTTAGGAAGGTCCCTTTGTGCAGTGCACGAGCTGAACAACCCTACCCCGGGAGGAGGCTGCTGCTGAGCCCTATTCGGGCTCCCTCCAGGCAGAGTGTCCAAGCGTGGGAACACGGACACTGGGGCATCCCAGGTTGGTTTTCCCCAGTGTCACCCCAGGCACCTTTCCTGCCCTCCACCTCTGGTTCCCGTGGGCGGTAAGCAGGTCTCCTGGATCTTCAGCGGAAGTAACAAGCAAGATCCGAGGCCAGGTGTTGTGAATATCAGAATCTGAACCCCAGGGCAGGGAGCTGGATATTTAACTGCTCTGCTCCCCGAATTTCCGGCTGTTTCCCAGGTTAGCCTGGGTGCCTCTGGTTTTAAGGCCTGGAGGAGGGGCCGCCTCAGCCAGGAAAGCCCCGCCCTCCTTGCCTGCCACTCCAGGGCAAGCCCCGCCCCCTTTCTCCATCAGGTCAGCAGGGGGCGCCCTTCCTGCCCTGGGCTGCCCCGCGCCGCAGTGCCCAGGGAAGGTGCCCCGCCGGCCGCGGCTGTCAGGTGGATGAGTGAGTCCAGGAGTGAACGGCCCTTGCCTCCTGCTGCCTCTCGATCCTGGTCCTCCTGGGCACTGTTGTGGGCTGAGGGCTGCTGGCAGAAGAAAGGAAGGGCCTGCCTTCGGTCCTCGGCAGGACTGGAGCCTTGGTGCTTTCAAGGGCCATTGTCACCCCATCAGGAAGCCCCCACGCAGGACTTAACCCCTGATGTGCCCAAGACTGGCTCTTGCACACTGTCACGGACACCTCGGTGGCACCCCAAGCCCTCAGCATTGCATGCGCTGGACATCCTGGATGGACAGAGGCCAGGGGTCCTGGGCTCAGGTCAGGACATCACAGGTGTCTGTCCCAGTCTGTGCGACTGGGGACAGTCATTCAAACCTCTTTGAGTCTCAGTCTTCTCATCCATAAGGTGGGGCTGGGGCCGGGTAAAGACCTAGGGACAGTACAGGTGTTGCGTGTCATGAAAGCCGGGTGACCGCGGCAGGGCGGGACGGCTGCCCCAGCGCTGGAGGGGAACGGCTGGTCCAGTGGGTGAGCTCGGGACATCTGAGCAGCTTTCCTCGTCCACTGGCTCTCTGCAGTGTGCGTCCCGCTCCTCTGCTCTGTTGAGGCGGCAGCTCAGGGATGGCCCCACAGGTCGAAGGGTGACCTGGCTCCATCAGCCATGTGGCCTGCCTGGCACCTCAGGTGACCCCACAGGGCTCCTGCACTCCCTGAAAGTTGGGGCCAGGGAGGGCTAACTTCAAGAAGCGGAGCTCCCTAACCAGAGGGCCTCCTGGGCTGGGGCAGGTGCCCTGCCATTCTGTGGCCACCAACTCCTCTGAGTGTGGACAGCTCTTGGGTCGGGTGGCCACCGAGTGTGGGTCCCCTGCCTCTGCAGCCCTCCTCCCGGTGACAGTGATGGAGGCGCCTGGCCAGGGTCCTGGCACGGGCCTTAGGCTGGTGAGGGATGGTCACCCGGCTCTGAATCAAGCCGCCTCTGCATGGCCCCTCCCCCCTCTGTCCGCTTCTGGCTGTTGGCAGGTCCTGGGGCCGGCAAAGGGCTGGCAAAGGTGTCCGTGCTCTGTGACGCTCCCAGCGGTGGCCGACGGAGCTCTAAGTCACTGAGGAGGCGGGTCGCACGCCCTGTGCTCCTCCCTCGGCCCCCTGCGCGCGATGCCTTCGCTGAGCTTGGACCAGATGATCCCGGCGAAGCGCTGGGCGCCCACACCCGCAGGACTGAGCTGGCGCTGGGACGCTTGCTGGGAAGGGCAGGGAGCTCCGCGCTCTGGCGGGCGCCCCCGGAAAACAGCAGTCGCGGCCTCCGACGGAGCATGCGCTACCCAGGCACCGGCCCCCGCGTGGAGCCTCGCCTCGTCCCGGGAGGCCGGGCTCTTAGCAGCAGCACCCCCATTTTACTGATGGCGGTGTGGCTCTGAGAGAAGCAGTCCTTTGCCCAGGCTGGTACAGCTGGTAAGTGGTACAACGGGGACTTCAACTGCCTCTTCTCGACCTGTCATCTTGGAAGCCATATGAACATCCAGGTCTTAAAACTTGCAAATAGTCTGCAGGGCCTCTTCCAGGCAGACAGCCGCTCTTCATTTCCTACTTACCGAGTGCCTACTCACACAAGGAGCAGAGCTGAGGCACACATCTTCTCAGGCGATCACAAACTAAAGATGGGAAGAAGGTGTGCTTATCCCCATGTTGCAGATGAGGAATCTGAGAGAGGTTAAGTAATCAGCCCCAGGACACACAGCCAAGCTCAGGTTCTTTCTCACACCTAGGACGGGGTCTCCTCTCCGTACTTTCTTCCCAGGGCTATTATTGGGCACCTCCGGGGTCAGGCACTGAGCTGGGTATTGGCAACCAAAATTTTCAAGGCAGACACATTGCCCAGCCTTGTGGGATCTGCAGCCTCAGGAGAGGAAATGATCTGGCCACTGAGGACCAGGGGAGCAGCTCCCAGGAAAGGGGAGCAGACCTCCCTCCCACTGCTCCCGCGGTGGGGCAGGGTTGGCCCAGGCAGAGGGTGGAGGGTGACATGAGTGTGGGCATGGGTCACCCGGGGGGATGGGCAGGGCTCCTCTGATCACATCAGTGACAACGTCACTTCCGCCGGCTCCTGTCCAGCATGGAAGGACTTCCTCCACTTCCCACGGCCCGGCCACCGGGAATCTGGGGAGCCCTGACCTGCTCCCCTGAGCTCATCTGCCTGGAGCTCCTCTGACCTCTCCCATTGGCCTGAGCACCCAGGTGCCCCGGTCCCTGAACACCCGGCTCACAACACTTTGCTCAGGATGGGGAGGGGCAGCAACGATTTTGCCCACAGAAAGGGCCATTTTCCCTACTCGCAAGCATCTCTGAGCTTCTCACCCTCTGCCTACGACGGGCGGCGTCTGCTGTAGTCCTCATTTCTAATAAATATTTACCAGACTTACTGCTTCACGTACAGTCCAGCTCGTTTATCTTTTAAAGATGCTCATCTCTTCTTTCCACTGTTCTCTTTTCCGATTTAGCAGGCTTTTATTAAAATATATTGTTTGCCATAGGATCTTTAAACAAATGGGCTGAAAAGAATCTTCGAGCTCGTCCAAGGTAGGCAACTTGGAGAAAGGGAGAGCACACGGCTTCCGTGACAGGGCCACGGTCCTGTGGCACGCAGCTGTGCGGCCTGGCCACCAGCGTTCTGTTCTGCACACAGAAGCCGGCTGCACGAGGTCTGCTCATTAGGCTGAGTGCTCCCAGGCCCTGTGGGGGCTCAGCTGGGCGCACAGGCTGCTCAGCTGCCTGCTGCAGACCTTGGAGCCAGGGTCCTGAAGTGACAGCCCCTTCCAGGCCAGCCGGGCCCCCCTGGCAGGTTCAGGAGGAAATCAGAGGCTTCTAGAAGACCCCAGAAGCTTCCAGGGGCGAAGACTTGTGCCCCTCTTCAGGTTCTTATTTTTTAGGTCATGAACCTTCTTGAAAACCTTCCAGAAGCTGCAGAGCCTCCCCCAGGAGCGTGCACACCACAGGCCTGCGCAGGTACACGCAGCACACGCGCGCACACGCGCACACACGCGCGCACACACGCGCACACACACGTGTGAACACAACAGAGAAGCATACACGCACATGTGAACACACACAGCACTATGCACACACACACACACACACACACACACACACACACAACACTGTGCACACGCACACAGGCCCTGGCCACACTGCCTGGTCTCAGGGGAACTTTGCACCACCCAGGTCGGGGACAGAGGCCTGGTCCTGGTGTCCCCCCTCTGACCCACACTGGCCAGCTGATGTGCCTTGGGCCTGGTGGGGGCGGAGGAGAGGGAGGGAAGCAGGGGGCGGGAGGCCAGGGAGTTCCAGAGAGGGACAGGAGAGGCTGAGGAGCTGGAGGACAGGGGAGGCAGGGCTGGACAGCAGTGGGTGGCAAAGACCTGCCCTCTTGGAGCGTGACAGTGGCAGGTCCCGTCCCGCCCCCGGGTCTCAGTCTCTCCCTGGGCACCCGCAGAGCAGACACGGTGCAGCCGGAAGGTTTGCAGGGAGCATTTGGCTTAATGGTGGCAGTGGCAGGGCCGGCTGGCACGGAGAGCCCGCTGGCTTCGTGTCCCGACCCRTGAACAGCGGGCAGCCTGGGGGGCCGAGGTGCGGGGAGGGAAGTGCCCACGAGACCAGGATCTTTCTGCAGCCCCCTGGACCCCGCTGCCGGCTTCTCAGTCTCCTGCTGACACAGCCGAGAAGTTCCTGCAGGGGGCGCTCGCGGACCTTCTGTCTTTTTAAAATGAACAGTTTGTCTGTTTACAGGGTTGATGACCAACGGACCCCAAAGCTCCTGTCACCCAGGTCACAGATGAACCGCAGCGCCAGTTCTGACCTGGGAGGAGCCACTAGCCCCTGCCTGTCTCCAGCACCACCTGGTGCTGGCTCACCCAGGACCTGGCAGGCTCCCGCTGCCCACAAGAGCAGCCACAGTGGCCACACGCCTACCCCAAGCAGGGACCTGCAGCAGGGTGGGGCTCAGCCTGAGGCTCTCCTAGCCCCCGGGACAGTGGAATTTCTTAGTGGAGGGACGACATGACCCAAAGGCCAGAAAAGTGAGCAGGGGCCCAAAGTGCCAAGTGTCAGGAGGTCAGGAGGACCAGAGGAACCACGTCCACGCCTGTCCCCTGTGGCCCCAGCCCCAGCTGGGCAAGACACTAAGGCTCAGAGAGGGTAAGGAGGCAGACTGGAGTCACACAGCTCGGGAGCAGGCAGGGTACGTTCTCAAACCCAGGCTTGCCGACTGCCTGGCACATCCTCATGGGCTGCCTTCCATCCTGGCCAGGAAGGAGGGGAGGCCGCCCCCCGCCCCCACGAATCCTCAGCCCCAAGTGGGCTGCACAACCATCACAGGAGGATGGGACTGTTTAACAAATCAGAACCCTCCAGAAACCCCGCCATCTCTTCTCAGCTTGGGTTATCTGAAAGGTGAAGGAGTCCTCCATAGCTAGACTCCTAAGGAGCAATGTATTAGAAACTTTGAAAGAAAATAAAGAGAAACATCATGAGCCGGGCGCAGGGGCACGTGCCTGTCATCCCAGCKGCTGGGAGGCTGAGGCAGGAGGATCGCAAGTTGAAAGCCAGCCTCAGCAACTTAGTGAGGTGCTGAGCAACTTAGCAAGACCCCTTCTCAAAATAAGACACATATATATATATTTTTAAAAAGGGCAGGGCCTAGTACCCAAAAAAGAAAAGAGAGAGAGAGAGAGAGAGAGAGAGAGAGAGACATCCTGGACGACGTGGACATTCTCCTGGTCCCAGAGGCCAAGGCCACTCTCCAGCTGGGGCAGCGTGCCCAGACTGCAGGCAGGGGCCTGGCACAAACAGCAGGCTCCGGGGGCCAGGACCACAACAGTGAGGGGCACAGGTGAGGACCACCCTGCTCCTGGACAGTGCCCCGGGCGCCTGGAGCATGGACACGGTGGTGTGCGCTGGTCAGGGGCCCTGGCTTGGCTCCTTGGGAGAAGCCCCCAGTGGCACGGGGGGAGGCACCTGGCCAGCACAGGACCCCGGGCCTGAGGTCTCACTCCTGAACCCTCAGCCACCAACTCCCTGGGGGACTCTGAACCCTCTGCCACCAACTCCCTGGGGGACTCTGGGCCAGTCATGGGACGTCGGATACACAGTGAGAGGGGCTGGAGGTGCCATCGCCCTGGTCCCTGGAGTGAGAAGGACTTGGTCCAGGTGGCCTGGAGCCCACCTCCCGCCCTGGAGCACCCACGGGGACGTGTGACGACGGCTACTCACAAACAGCAGCAGACACTTGTTCTCGCGGACGGCCCCGCAGCAGCCCAGGAAGCCCAGGAGGAAGAGCAGGCCGCCCATGGCCAGCAGGACGTAGGCCCCGGTGAAGAGCAGAGGGTTGGCCGCCACCACCTCCCGGAAGCCGGTGGGGTCCACCATGACCCAGATGCCCACGCCCAGCAGGCAGGTGCCTCCCAGCTGCCCAGGGAGGAAGGAGGGTGGGTCAGGCAGGTGCCCTGGGCCAGGCCCCGGGCAGAGGCGGGGAGTGCTCAGGGAGCTGGCAGGGGACATGGCACTGCCCCGGCAGGGGGCTGGCCACCAGAGCTCAGATGCTGTCCCCTCCCAGGCAGAGCCCCTAGGCTGGCTGCCGAGGACCTAGACTTTGCTTTATTTTCCAAAGTCCCGCTGAAGTGGCCAGCAGGAGGTGAGGAGGGCCCACAGCTGTAAGGGCAGCTGAGAGGAGGCGAGAAAGGAGGGTGTCCAGGCCAGCCTGGGGAACAGGGTCCTCCTGCCTCAGAGGAGAACACAGCGCAGGCCTGGGGTGCGGCCGGGTCGAGCTGGCCGAGCCTGCGTGAGCCCCAGCTTCAATCCCTAACACCTCAAAGACAGAGAGATGAAGATACTGAGGTTCAGAGAGGTGAGGTGTGTTACAAATCATACAGCTCAAGGGCAGCGCTGGAATGGAAGGTGGGCGCTGGTCCCAGAGAGATTTCTAAGCATAGCAGGTGGCTGCGGGGTCCCTCCAGCTCTCCTGGGCGGGGTCTGCTCCAGGGGGGCTCCTGCTCTGGCCCCTGACCAAGCCCCCTCCCCCTTTCCCGCTCCTCACAGGGCCAGGTCCCAAGGCAGTGGCCAGGCCTGAGCTCCCCCACCTCCCGCCCCGTCCAGGGTCCATCCTGCCCCAGGGACTCGCCCGTATGACAGTTCAAAGCAGGAGCCGTTGTGCCACCCCACAGAGGCCCGGGAGACCCGGAGGACTTACGAATATGAAGAAGTTGAAAACAAACATTAAGTACTTCATGCAGCTCAGACAGTCGCCTTCCATGGTGGGTGGACCTGCAAAACAAGGGACCTCAGTCTTGGGTCCCCACCCAGAGGGGCCCGTGGCCAGCCTCACCCTGCAATGTGGAGGAAGGAGATGGTAACCATTCTCTTCCTGGGGATAGCAATTTGCCCTGGGGACCTGGAGTTAGGAGTGAGGATGCAGGGGCCAGCCTGCCTGGGTCTGAGCTCTCTGCTACCATTTGTGTGCTGTGTTACTTTGGGCAAATGACCCCACCTCTCTGAGCCTTGCTCTCTCCAACTTTAAAGTGGTGATTGAGAACAGCACCTTCCTGCTGTCCCTGGTGAAGATGAAGGGCAACTCCTGTGCTCAGTGGGCAGGGCTCCAGAGCTGCTCCCTGTCATTTCCTTAGTGTGGCTGTGCCTGTGCTTGCTAGGTCAGAGCACTCCAGATCAGAGCCCCAGGACCTGCTAGGCCCCAGGCAGGACCAGAGCCCAGGCCTAGCCAGCATCCCCCACGCCATGCGCCCTCCGGCCATGGGCCTGACCCRGCCATTTCTTGGCTTTGCTGCAGGGAAAGGAGGTGCCAGGCTGCGCCTGGGCCACCAGGTCCTCAGTTTCTCCTGACGCATCCTGGGAGGGGACGGGGCTGTGCCCTCCTGGGACACAGTGGGAAGGGTGTGTGGCGCGGCTGCAGCGGCCAGCGCACAGCCAGCAGGGCTCCCTGGGGCCTCCTCTCTGCCACGCCCTCTCCTGAGCCAGGCTGGACCCGTGGTCACTCCGAATGCCCCAGCTGCCCACCCCTCTCCAGACCCTCTGGCAGAGCCCAGAGCCACCCAGGACTGGGGGCTGCAGGAGGACAGCCCCCCGTCTGCTCCAGAGCCTGCCCTCCGGGGGTGGGGTGGGGATGAGCCCACACACCAGGTTCCATCCCGGCTCCTCCCCTGTGAACCTCTGTGTCTCAGCCTCTGGGGCCCTCGGTCTCCTCATCTGTCACCGTGGGCAGTTTTGCTCAACCACACTGGGCGTGTTGTGAGGAATAAGTGAGAAGTCCCCGTCCAGGCCCTCTGCCACAGCTGGCACGGGGTGGACAGCCTCACAGTGACCACACCTGACGCCGCTTTCCTGGGTTCCTGCTTCCCACCAGATGAGGAGACAGGACCATGGCTTGCACCCGAGGCTGGGATGGGCTGGCCCCTCTGTCCTCTTGGCTGGGGGTTGACTTTAACCCACATGTATGCAGAGACCTGTGCTCTTGGAACTGGAGGCCAGCCCCACGGAAGTGACCGTCTTTAATCTTTCAACAACCACAAGAGACAGGAGGCACCTGATCACAGGAGGACCCCGAGGCTCAGGGAGGCCAAGTGAGCTGCCCAGCATCACAGAGATGTCCTGTGGCCACCTCCAGATCCTGTGCCCCACCTGGACGGGGAGCAGACACTTAGGCAGGGAGCAGGGCATAAGGAGCACTGGACTGGGAGTCTGGAGCCCGGGCTCATGCTCCACAAGTCTCTGCTGTGTGACTTTGGGCAAAGCACTTTCTCTCTCTGGTCTCAGAGTAGTCTATTTAAAATGGCAGACCAGGAATTTGATAAGGAGTCTGTCTCTTGTAACACTCTCTGATTTGGACAAAGCAGGCTTAGGAGGCCAGAAGGCTCTTCGGAAGGGCGAGGCTGAGACGCATGGTGGAGGTCRGCTCTGGGGTCCTTCCTCTCTGCCCGCTGAGGGACCCCCTGCGGGGGCTCTGACTGCTTAGCAATTAGGGCCAAAATAAACACAGTGCCTCCTGAACAGCCCCCTGTGTTCCTGACAACCAGGTCCTCTGCGGGTTCCAGCCAGTGCGCCAGGTTTGCAGAGGACGGGCCCCAGAGGAACCTGTCTGCTGGGCAGAGCCTCCGACCACCCCGAGGTGACCAGGTGGGAAACACAGGACAGGAGGGAGAGGGCGGGGACAGGAGGTGGAGCCCTGTGCCCACCTCGGGCAGGCCGGGCGCTGGGAAGGAGGGCGCGGATACCCAGCCTGAATCCCAGCTCTGCCAGGGTGCGCCCCGGGCAAGCTCCTAACTGCAAGCAACCGAGTTCCCTTCTCTGTGAAAGTAGGATCAAAATCGAACCTTCCTCCTGATTCATGGGAAACGCTGACCCAGGGAGCAGCACATGGCAGCTAATAAGGTGGACAGCCACCAGCAGCGGGCGCTCGGCGGGCGGGCGGGCTCTTACTGTGCGCCCAGGACGGGCACAACCTCCTGAACCCTCCAAGGAAATAGTCAACCCCCGTCCATTCGTCAGCTGAGGGAATCAGGGCTCAGGGAGGTGGTTCCCTTGTCTCAGGTCACACAGCACAGTGCCACTGCCAGAATTCAAATCCGGGTCTGTCTTAATCTGAAGCTGGGACTCTCCGTCGCCCTTTGCAGGGGAAGCCAATTCCTTGCCCCTTTCAGCCATCGTTTTGCAAAGCTCAGACCTCCCTACACCTCCTGTGCCACGTTACGTCCCACCGTCCAGAGGGAACCCTCTGCTGGGCCACCGTCTGTGGTCGGGCCAGCTGCACCTCTCTAAGGGGCTTCGGCTGTTGGGGACACACTCACAGCCCATTGGCCAGACTGGCATGACAGACACGTGCGCGCTCCAATCCCTGTCGGGACCTGGCTGCTGGCCCCACCCACTCACCTCCAGCTGTGGCCAGCGCCCCCTCGGCCACCTCTAAGGAGCGGGAGGGAACTGGAGGTGGGACAGGAAGTCTGGGGACTTTGTTGATCCTCAAAAAAGATGTTCGAAAGGCACTTGGGAGGGAGCCGGGGCCATCTGCGGAGGGAAGGCCACGGGGCCCACGGAGGGCATCAGGGTGGCGGGGACTGCGGGGGTCGCTGGACCCCGTCACCTCCCCCCTCGTGGCTGGACCAATCACAGAGGCGCTGGGCCCGGCCTTCAGGTGGCCGGGCCTCCAGGCCCCTCCTCCAAGGCCGCAGAGGGGCCGTTTTGAGGAGGGAGAAGGATGGCCTTCAGTGGTTCTCAGACTGGGTTCCCCGGGGTACCAATGTGCCCGAGTTATTTCAACACTCCCCTCGCAGCTCAGAGGTCGGGCCTCCACTCAGGTCGGCACGCCGGCCAGGGTCCTGGTGTTGGCGCAATGACGCCCTCCCCAGGTGGGGACCCTCTGTCTCAGGTTGCTCACAAGATCTGCCCCATGCCGTCTGTGTGACTTCCAAGTACAAACATTGACCTCAGACTTGACAGATGACTCCCAAATGACACTCGTCCACCCCGTCAGGTAACCTGCCCTGCTCCCACCTGCTGCTCAGGCCACCCCTCCAGGGATCACCCCTCCACACCGGGAGCCAGAAGGTTGTCAATTGATGTGTCCTGGGCTCCACCTGCCCTCCTCCCCCTTCAGGCCACCTGTGTCCCACCTGACATTCCTGGGCCCAGTCACCTGCCGGAAAGAGAAGGTAGAGGCAGGGAACAAAGGAAGCCCAGGACATGTCAAAAGGCAGGACACCTCGCTTCTAGGGATCCCAGGATACAGCTGTGGCCCCTTCCTCCTCGTGGGAGAAGTCTGTGTCCCCCTTTGTGAATAAACCCTGCTTCATCTGCCTGCCGAGGCCTGGGGAGCTTCTCTAATGTTCAGACCTCAACAGGTGAGGGAGCGGGACTTGTCACTGGTGACCGGCTGTCAAACTCACCTCCCTGCAGGCACCTGGAGAGCTTGGGAGGTGGTCCAGGTGTCCCCAGCTCACCTGGCCTGCCCAGGTGGGACCTACCGTGTCAAGCACCCCACGCCTATCCCAGCAGCCCTTCACCCGGCCACAGAGTGCCCCAGGCTGACAGCGTGACCCCAGTTGCACTCGGCTGGTGGCTGGTGTCGTGCACAACAAACCAGGTGCTCCAGACTTAGGGCACCTCACGCCTCACTAAGGGTCAGTGCCAGCCGAGAATTCCACCCCAGACAACTTATGTCACCAAGCACATCAAGGAAAGACGCTCTCGGTCATGAAAAGATTGGGAAGTACCCGCCCAGCCCAACAGCCTCCTTCCGGAAACGCAAACCAGGCTGAGAGGGGAAGGGGGCTTGACCAAGGCAGGGAACCAGGTGGCCAGGGAGCTGAGCCTGGGGCACAGCCACCTCCTSTATGTGCTGTTTCCTTGAGTGACATGCCTCCACCTCCTGTGCTCTCTAAACACAGGTTTGACCCCTGCCTTACTCCCAGTGCCTACAGCTGCTCCAGGCACATAGTAGACCCCCAGTTAATCCAGCTGATCCACTGAGTGAGAGAGTGAGAGTATAGTGGAGAAGGAAGAGAAAGCAGAGAAGGAAAACAGTGGGACCAGCACCTAGAGAAATGATCGAAAAGAGCAAGAGGGAGAAGAGGCAGAGGAGACAGGCGAAAGGGGGCAGGCAGAGGGGCRGGGCAGGCGACAGGGCACAGGTGCACAGAGAAAGGAGAGGCGGCTGCTGACTTGACCCCTGGGCAGTGCTTCGGGGGTCAGCAGGACGGAGGCTCCTGGTCAGAGGGGCCGCTGTGCGTTTCTTTGATCCACCAACTTGTCCTGGAAGAGAAWCGCTCACTTACTGCAGAAGTCTGCAGGGAGCAGCGGGGGAAGGAGCGTCCGTGAGCCTCTCTGCTCCGCGGGCTCCTCTGCAGGTGAGCCTCTAATGAGCCGCGCTGGTTGGCACTAATGAGAAGCGGTGGGCACCCGGGGGACCTCCAGGGACAGCTCTGTACCCGATGCCCAGGACACAGCTCAGTGTCCTGGGGAGCCGCGTGGAGACCCACGCCTTCCTTCCTGCGGATCTGGCCCGGGACTCCTGGATGCTGACCTGGCGGCACCCGTGAACTGGGAGGAGGTGACAGGGTTGGGTGGCTCCACACCTGGGTGCCACCTGGGCACCCTCAGTGTCCTCTCCGCAGGGAGAAGGCCACAGCCCCTCCCCAGAAACCCAGACTCCCAGGAGGGAGAACCTGGTGCTGGACAGTGTCCTTAGCTTTGCACAAGGTTTGCCAGGAGGTTCCTCTAGGGGGCCGCCCCCCAGCAGTGGGAAGGGGGAGGGTCCC